CATATTGTGGGCGCTCATGCAAGGACCTGAAAAGTGTGCTTCATTTTCGCTGCGCGCTTCCAGGAAAGGTAAAAAACGAGTGAAAAGAAATCTTTGGAATCTGCTTCGTTCTGGGCCTCTATGCGGCGTAGGTCACTTGCAACTTTGACCAGTTGCTGAGTGGGGGTCCTTATAAAGGGGCTATTTGAATCGAAGCGAAAAATCGCCGCAAGTGAGCTTCCAACTTGGGTCACGTGCTCAAGGGTGAACGGCTTCTTGCAATGGTTTCTTCAACAAATAGAGCGGCACGCAGCGGCAACGATCGGATGGCCTAGCGGATGTGGAGGATCTGCAATCGGACGGTGAGGATGGGGTTAAGGGTTCGACTCCCTTCGAGCCGCGGCTTTTTGCCAAAAAAATCATTGATGCAATGCAAGGCAAGGCTTGCGGGAAAATTTTCAGCAACCCAACAGAACGAGATGGTCCTGAGGTTTTTCATTAAGACAAAGTGATTGCAATTACTATATCTGCTCAAATGATCTACAGTCTGTGGACCTATCAAAGCGGAAAACCAAAGCGGTCTGATTCTGATTTCAGAAGCGCTTCACACGATTATTATGATAACGATTAGACAATCTGATCTTTCAGCATAACACCCCGGTGACTGATTTTATGCAATATATTTATGAGTGAAAAACTGAAGGCAGAAACCGCATTGGCTTAAGAACTCCCTGAAACAGGAGAGCTGTCGACTCTTTCTAAGAGCATGCGAACTGTCATCCAAAAACACAATTATGAACGAACTCCTGAGTAAAATAGGGGTCATACCTTTTATGGTAGAAACATGAGGTTTCAAAGCCTTCGCAGGTATCTCAGCGATCAAATCCTTTTGCACCGACTTTGAAAACGAGCTGCTTGTATTGGACTCTACTGTACCCATGTCAAATAGCGGGTGCACCTGAATGAAAATAATATAATGAAGGTGAAGAGGTAATGTAAGCAAATATCTACCGAGCTGCTGCTAGGCTTGTCATGGCTTTCCTTTGTAGCAGAGCACTGTTCTTTTTCCTGGGGTTTCCGTGTAATATCCCGCCTGAAACCTACTATTAAACCGATATTCAATCAGACGAAGCTGTTCGCGGCTATCTTAAAGCCACATAATAATGACAGTGAAAATTTCATTCATCTCAAGACTACTCCTTCCTCAGTTCAACGCTTGCGATGCTATCTGCATTCCTAGCCTGCGTTCATACTTTGCGTAGGCGTTTTGGGCGCTTAGAGCGTAC